GACCTGAAGGCCCAGCAAACGCTTCCAAAAGTTGCTGGTGCTGAGGGTCCTGTGCGGGGCACCCTTCACGACACCCCCTTTCCCTCAGGAGGCCCATGGGCAGGCAGGGGAACCGGGGCCCTGCTCCACTACTGTCCTCCCCTTTGGATGACCCTGTTGAATACCAGTCGCTGCTCCTCCTCCCTGCCTGGTGCCCTGAGAAGCAGCTCTGCTATCGTTCTGAGCAGCCTTGTCCCCCACCCACCCCCCCTGGAGTGGTGTCCTCCAGCCTGTTCCCCAGTCACCGGCCTGCGCTGACCCGGACCGAGGGCTGAGAGCTTGGACTCCCCGGACAGTGGCCAGTTCTGGGGTCGAGGCCGCCTTGAGGCACCTCCTCCCTCCGTGCATTTTGTCTCCTCTGCTTCTTCTCTCCTCCCACTTCGTGTGTATCAGAGCCCTGCCCCTCTGTGCCCGCTGTGTGGCTGCTGGCGTCATGCAGCTTCTTTCCTTCCTTCGCCCTGTCCAAGGGAGGGGGGCCCAGGCCTGAGGGGAAGTCCCTGTCCTCTGCTCCAGGGAGGATGAGCCCCGCCCCAGTTTTGTGGGTGGGCCAGAGCCAAAGGGTGCTGCTTCCCTCCATTCGCCCACTCCCCTGCCATTCCTTACTTGTGCCATGGGCCTCACTAAGGATCTGGGGAAAGCAGAGCATCAAAGTCAGGAGGAAACACCAAAGTGGGGGAGCCGCCCTCCTAGGGCTGTCCTACCTCCACCAGCTCCCCAGCCTGAGCTTTGGCCTTGCCTGCCTGCCTCTTTGAGGGAACTGAGTGTAGAGGCAGTCGCTACAGAGAAGGGAAAAACAACACAAAAAACTAATGGTGAGGGGTGGCAAGGATCAAAGTCACCCCCATTCTCTACCTCCCATGCAGTGTGGACACAATTTCTCTCCGCCTGGCCACTTGAATTTGAAGCTGTGGATCAGGGCCTGAGGGCACTGCTGGGGCAAGGAGAGCCCTGGAGGACGAGTCCGTGGGCCAGCTCCTACATCAGGTTCAGAACCAGCAAGAGCCGGCCAGGGCAGCACTTAGACCAGAGGGAGGTGTGGCTGCAGCAGCAAGACCTGCTGGGCTGCAGCTTTCATTTCTTGTGGGAGAAGAACATGGCCCAGGACCCACGCCTTCTCTCTCCAGGTTCTCCTGGGACTCAGCATATGTCGGGGAAGGGCAAGGACTAGCGAGAGAAGGTCCGAGGGAGAAATGCTTGGTGCTTCGAGATAGCAGTGCTCATCTTGCCCCCCTCCCTTGAGCAGCAGGTGTGAGCCAGCTGCCTGATGGCTGCAGGTGGAGGGCAAAGGGCTCCCTCCACCAGTTCTCTGTTTCAGGTAGGGTCCAAGAATGGCTTGAAGGCGAAGGAGGAAGAAGCTGATTACCACCCTTCCTAGGGTCCCTCCCCAAGCCCTACCCGCAAGGTGGGGGGAGCCAAGTGCAGAGGCTCGTTCTGCAGCTACATCAGATGCTGCCCCGTGACTGGGGTGGGTAGTGGGCATGGAGCATCCATTAACTTAGGACCAACATCTAGGGCACACCCATCTCAAGGAATCCTTCCTACTCCTCCCAAACAGGTCGGGGCAAAACCCGGCAGACCTTTCCTCCTGCCTCTTCACCCAGAAAGCAGCCAGCGAGAGATGGCGACTCAGGATCTAGGAACAGAACAGGTTAGTGTAGTGGAAGGGAGAAGAACCTAAAAATAGTTACGCGTAGTTAGCTAAGGCGAAACCTAGCTGACGCTTTAGAATGAAGCCATGCCTGTGGCTGAGGCCTCCTTGAGGACCTGGGTACCAAGACGTCAGCAGCACCACCCGTGGCGCTGGGGAGGCTGGGGTGCCTGCCCTTCAGTCCTGGGAAGCTCTCTCGGACCTTGGCTCCAGCCCTGGGGTAACAGTGCGGCTTTCCCTGAAGATCCGGCAGAACATGACTGCCTTTTCCTAACCCCCTCAGGAAAGAGGGGCTCTTATTTGTGCTGTGCCCGCGGGGTTCTGGAAGGAAAACAGGGCTTGGGGCCCCATGGATTCATTAGTCCTAACCACAAGGGCCTTAGCCAGGGAAAGGGATGGGAGCAGAAGAGTTGGGATTTGGGGGTACAGCTACACTTGACTAGCCACTAGAATTGGCCCCTCGCCCTCAGCTTCCCCAGTCCATTAGGTGGCCTGGGGTCTGAGCTGTTGAGGGGGCCTTCTCGGCTTATTCACGCCCCACCCTCTCTGCCCCTGCTGCGGGAGACGCCGCCGAGCAGCCCCCAGGCCCACCGCTCCTGAGCCCGACCCTCTCCCGGTGACAGGTGAACTTGGGGTACTGCGTCTCGGGTTCATGATATGTATTGTGAGCAGGGTTCATCTATTTTAAACACAGATGTTTACAAAATAAAGACTATTTCCAACCACTGGGGCGGCTGCCTCTTTTGAGTCCCGTGGAATCCGTGTCCCTAGAGCCCTGGTGGCGATAGGTTGGGGTGGGGAGGCGGTGCTGGGGGTAGAGGTTCAGGAAGGCCAAAGCCACAGCCAGTCTCGGGATGACAGCAGAGGCAGCTGATATCCGTTGTCCTTCCAGCTGTACCTTCTCTGTCCTCCGTGGCTACTTGCAGGGGTGCCCAAAGCAAAGCCCCCCGCCCAACCCTGCAAAAGGGTTAAAAAACCAGAAACAGAAAACAGTCCAGCCGACTCCCAGCTACTCTAGAAACAGTCAAATTGCCCCTTTGGGTTTCTGAGGCGCTAACTGGGAGACTTTACAGGAGCTGACAGCCGTCTTTCTCCTGTGGAGGGTCGCAGCCCAAGTCAGTACCCGCCCTGCCCCCTAGGGCCCCTGGCAGCAGGCTCACACGGCAGAACTATGATGACACACAAGGAAGGGTGCTTCCTGTCACTGGTTGGATGCCAAAGATGTGTGTCTGAGGGACACGAGATAACAACACACTCCCTGCCATCCTGTAGGACAGGGCAGAACAGCCCCGTGAGTTCCCGAGATGAGTCAAGAGAGGGCTCCTCTATTTGGGTTGGGGCAGATTTTCCTGAAGGCACGAGGGGAGAACACAGGGAGACTGACTGGAATCTCAGCAACTCCACGGTGTTTAATACTAGATTTCGGAAGCAGACTTTGGATGTGGTAGAATGGGGTGAGCCTAGCATGAAGGTCACACACAAACTCACTGCCATCAAATCCATGCTGACTCACAGTGACACCCCAACCCCATGGGTTTCTAAGACTAACTTTATGGGAGTAGAAAGCCCAGGTGTTCTCCAGCAGAGCTGCTGCTGGTTTTGAACTGCCGACCTTACGGATTGCAGCCCTATGTGTAACCACTACACCAACAGGACTCTGTAGCACGGAGAAGGAAGGAGTAAAACAGGGCAGGGTGATTGTGACCTGCAGGTTCCTGCCCTTGTTAGATTTATCTTCTTTGATCCTAACAGTTGCTGGGTGAGATAGGAGGGTGGTTATCTGTATTCAAGTTCAACAGCTCAACAGATAAGGACACAGATTGGATGCTTAAAAGGTTGGTCTAGTGGTGCCAAGTAACAGGAGGAGCCTTAGTGGCACGTGCGGGTATGGATTGAGCTGCTAACCAGGTCAGCCGTTCGAACCCACCAGTCGCTCTGAGGGAGAGAGGAGGCTGTCTGCTCCTGCAAGGGTTTGGTCTTGGTAACCCAAAGGAGCCATGGTATTCTGTCCCGGTGGATCATCTTGGTGGCAGTGAGTGACCAGGCAACCGTGGCAGAGTTGGGCTAGATCATGGAATTGAAACAGGGAGAGTGAAGCATTGGCATCTCGCCTTAGCAAAACCTACAGGTGGTGCTCACTCAGGTGCAGCCAGCAGAAGAACCACCACCCTGGCCTTTCTGCCGATGAACCAAGGCTGTTCCCCCAACCATCACCATCCTGCGGAGTGTGGGGGAGTCGGACTTGGTCATGGCACGTCCAAATTTGGAAGCTGCAAGGAAGTGGTGCCAGGTGGGTTGAGGTGAAGTTGGAAAGAAAGGTATTTTAGGCGTGCCTCCGTGCTTTTGCTCGATCGTGAAAAGGGAGAGCTGGGGACACAGAACAGGGACAGCCGCTGCCTAAGGCAAGAAGAGGGGCCGAGGAGCTTCCAAGGCCTGCTGGCATGAGAACACAGAAGAACAGCCAGTCGGGCCCAAAAGCCCAGTGAGTACTGAGGACGCCCCGGGCCTGCATGCAGATGAGCCTCTAGCAAGGTGGTGTCCCTATGCATTTTTGTCCACTACCAGTGCCACGTCCTGGCTCAGTGGCTTGTTATCGAGACGTATTGACTGCTCCTAAGAACTCCTCTTAGACTGAACCACTCAAAATTCACTGCCATCGAGTCAATGCTGACTCACGGAGACCTTACAGGACAGGGTAGAACTGCCCCTGTGAGTTTCTGAGACTGTTACTCTTGACTGGAGTAGGAAGCCAGTCTTTCTCCCGAGGAGGAGTGGCTGGTGGTTTTGAATAGTCGATCTTTTGGTTAGCATCCCAGTGTGTCACCACTACAGTCCCAGGGCTCCTAGGGGGCATAGCTCGTCATGCCTTTCCTGCCACCCATGCTAGTGGCAAACGATTCCATTCCCTCTTCAGTAGCCGAGGCTAGGTTTGCGGAGAGCGATTTGAGATCGGTCGGCTGCACTTACTATAATCAGCCATGGGGCAGGTGACTCCCTCCTGCCTGGTACTTCCATCTCAACAACACAGCTCCGTTCTAGGAGACAGCTCCCAGTGGGTAGGTACCGGTGGAAACACTAGCAGTAAACACTTGCATCATTATTGAAATGTCCCACCAAACCCCCAAAGCCAGGTCAAGCTGCGTGGTCATATATTACAGAGGGAGAAACCAAGGCATTCAACAGAAGAAGAAAGAACGAAAAAGATTGTGGGTGTTTGGAAGGGTCATGTAGCATGTCAGGCTTTTTCTGTGGACTTCCGTGGTGGTACTGGGCAGATAGCCCAATGTCCTGTAATATATGGTGTGGCCGGCATGGTAAGCTTCTTGAAGCCCCCC